TTTATTCAACACACTTTACTAAGGAACAATTAACAGTTAAAGTATCGAGCTATTTTTTAAAATATATTATATATAACTTTTTCTTTAATGATTTTCTTCTATTGTTACTTAAAAATATATATATATATATATATATATATATATATATTACCTATATTACAAATTACATTTTTTATCAATATCACGTAAATTAGGTGAATATAAAATACTGCATTTTGAAAAAATTTAGAAAAAAAGTGTTTATAAATTGTACAAAATATTTCTATTAAACGAATTTCCACTCCACCTCTTACAATAGATCTACGAATTTGTGTTTGATATAAATACAAAATAAAAAAAAAATAAAATAATATTTACAAATTGTGGTGCATTCATTTAAAAAAAAAAAAAAAAAAAAAAACAATTTACTACAGTTCGTAATAAAAATCATAACAAAATAAAAAAAACCAATCTAAATTTTAACAAACATTCGTATAACCAAATTTCGAAATGTATCTCAATGTAACGAAAGTTCAGTTCAAACTATTTTCAACATTGAAAATAATCTTATAATCGTTAGTTTATATTATATCGTTAAGAGTCATTTTCATTCGACACACACATGTCACGTAACGTCATTTACAGGTGCCAAATCCCCCAGTAACCACGACGATCAGAGTAATAAGGTAGCATTTATTCAAGGATCGTCGTTCGATGAATAGTAACAAAGGCAGAAACCCGAACAAATCTATCGGCACGCAATCTTGTGGTCACCATGCACGTCCAACGATCAGCGAACTTTGAATAGCCCTCGTAGGGGAGAAGTAAGGGTGGTGGTAGAATAAGGGAAGGGAGGGAGGGATCGAATGCAAAAGGGAGGATTGACCGTGAAACCGCGTGAAAGCTTCTCTTGTTCGAAGCTCACTCGTTCGCCAAGAGAAATTGTACCTGCGAGAGTTAAAAACTCTTATACGAAAAACTCAAACTAACTATATACATACATATACATGTATATCTCTTTCTCTCTTTCTCTCTTTTTCTCGTGCAAGCGCGGAAACTTTTTTTTTAGCCGCTTCGCTGGTTCGTTTTTCCATAAACGACTTTTCAATTTCCATCTATATGCTAATATGAGAAAAATCTTTCGAAGGGACCGAAAATATTGCGAGAAAATCGGAGTTTCGTCTATCTTTCACTGTCCGTCTGTCCGTCGTCTACCTTTTCCTATCTCTTTCTCTTTCTCTTTTATATATATATATATATATGTATATGTATGTATATCTCGTTTCGTTCGCAAAAGTGTCTCTGGTGGCACATCGATACGCGTTAGATAGGAAAAAAATGAAAGTTTTAGATAGCATTGGCAACATATTGGAGAAGAAATTACTCCCTGACCGATGCAAAAATTTCCCTATTTTTTGTTGTTGTTGTTGAAATTTTTATTTTTCTAAATAATCTTTACGGGAATATTAAATAAATATACATCATGTATGCATACGTAAAAGTAAATACAATTTATTATTATTTTTATTCGAATTACTTTTGATAAAAGTAAATCATAAATATTTTCAATTTGAAATGTATTTTTTTCTATCAACGTTAAATTGATTTTGATATTTTTTCGATAAATAATGACCACAGTTCTCGTTTCTGTTATTTTTTTTTTGAATTATTCGAAAGATCGAAAAGACAAGAAAAAATAGAAAAAGAAGAAGAAGAAGAAGACAATGAAGAAGAACGTATTGAAAATATAAAATAAACAGAGGGAGTAGAAAGTGGGGGAGGGAGGTGAGGAGTGATAAGGCGGTTAAGGGGAAAGGGGGAAAGTCGTTGAGAAGAGTTTGCACTTTGTCAGAAGGTAGTTGCACTTTGCCAGTCGTACCATTCACATTGTGCTTACTTTGCGACAAGGTCGAGAAGGGAAAGTATGACATTCTTGTCATTTTCTCTTTCTATTTCTCTTTCTATTTCTCTTTCTCTTTCTCTTTTTCTTTCTTTTATGCTCCATTTCATCCAGTTCTTTTTCTTTACCTTTTACCTTCCCTTGGGTGTGATTTGGCTCGTTGCCCGTTTCAATACCAATATCTCTGACCGTTCAGAGATCACCAAAGGAGGACCGGAACGAAAAAAACAAAAAAAAGTGTAGAATAAAGATAAAGGGATGATTAACGCTAAGATTGTGATTCGACCAACGCGTCTAGATAACGGGAATCTTCGAGGAAATGTCTACCCTTCGAGAATATCATCCCCATAGGTTGATCCACTTCGTAGAAAATAATCTTATATTTTTTTTTTTTTTTTTTTATATTAGTTGTCAATTATGTAGTTACAGTAAAGTAATTTCTAAAATTCTAGGACTTAATTTCATTTTGAAGTGGCGATTGGTAGATAATAGTAAACCCCCCACCTCAGAAGGGTATAGTTACTTTGTACAATATAATCAAATAGAACTGTTTTACCAAAACATCCTCTTTTAATAATAGGATTCGTTTAACTGCGACTAGAAGAGTTGTTTTTATGATAACTATAACATCTACTATTATAATTATTATTATCACTAGTATTTTAATATTGCTATCATCATTATTATTATTATTCTAACAACTATAACCCATTTGTAAGATTGTTAATTGTAAGACTGTTACACCTAAATATCCACCCCCTTTCAACGATAGGAAACCATCATCAACACTTCTCAAACACAATCAATTTCTACAAATTTTGTTTTAACTCAAAGCAGTTTCTTAAACCATACCTCACGTTTTCATTACATTTCTCAAAAATTTATTTTACATAAAAAAATGTACACTTGATTTTTAAAAACGTCCACACATTTACAAACTTGTAATCAATAAACTGAATCAAAAAATTAATTGCATACAGAAAATCATTGCATAAATAATACAAATTAAGACTCCAACAAAATAAAAAATTTATTATTTTTCTGAAAATATAAAATCCTTATTTGTAATAATATTTTGTATCGATCTATCGTATCTAAAAGAAAAGAGAGTCGTGTTTTATCCTACAAAATGTACGCGAGAAATAAACTAAAGGCTTTCATAGTATAGTTATCAAAGTTTAAACTTTACGTACAAAGGGTTCGTGTATATATTTCTCTTTGGCTTTCACATACACACACATACATACACATACACACACACTCTCTCTCTCTCTTTACTTTCCACGATGAAAACCAGGAACAACGACTTCTTGATCTCGCGTATATATGTTAGTCTTGAGAATAATATTACAAATGTATATACAACACATATAGATATAAAACAAAAAAGTAATGGTGGTACTACCTAACTTTTTAAAAATATCATGGTTTGCATGTCAAATATTTAGATTGAAAATTGCATTAAATTTCCATCTACTTTTACAAGTAGAAGAAGAAGAAACTATTACTATTACTATAGTTATTAACATAATCGTAATTATTATACTATTGTTATTATTTTAGATTTTTTTTTAAATTAAAAATTTAATTCTTATTGGTGCAGATATTTGCAATCAACATATTTTTATTTTATTTTTATTAATCAACTTATTAATAAAAAAAAAACTTGTAACATCAAAAGTACGATAAACAAACGTACAGAAATGAAAAACAAAAAAGAATCTTTAATCCTACGAGAGTATTTATTAGAAACTCGTTACTTTCTAGATTCGATTTACCTGTTTGTTAGAAGAGTATAAAAAAATAAAAAAATAACAAAAAAACTTGAATCGTTTCTTTTGCTTACGCCAGAGTAAATGTTTGCAGTAAAAATATGACGTTATTTAACATCAGAAGAGACATCATCAATGTGATTGTATCAACGTGAAATAATTAATTGGAAATTGAAATATTCTTACATATTTCAATCGATAAAACACAAAGATAAATTTCCGATACACAATATTCGTTCGCAGAATAAATGACATTATTCTGTCATAAACAAGTCGACGTATGTAATGTTGTATGTAATGTTAACGATAAGAAAAATAATTAAAACATAAAAAATCTATACATTTTAACATGTCAATATGTCATGAAGGTTATAGTTGATTTAATATTTCGTAGATAGTATTTAAAAGGCTTTTTAAAAATGTTTTTTTTATTGTTTTTTTTAAACTATTAAAAGTATATGTATATCTATTTGCTGTGTATTTACTGTGTATTGAATTTAATAATATTTAAAAATATAGTTGTGTGGAATATTAAATATTTTGTTTGAAAATTGTTAAATTGTAAAATCTGTGGTTAGGTATGTAAATTACGTAATTTACTAAGGTGTACTTTTTAGAATTGGACATAAAGCACCTTGGAAAAAATCAGAGTTCAACAAAAACACCGAAAATTAACTAATTGTAACTTTAGGAACTATTGAATTAAGTAACAAGAAAATAATAGAAGTACTACTTACTTTCTAAGAGTAGCCAATCGTTGTTCCTGAGCTTTAATGAATCCATTAAGAGTGTCAATGAGTACCGATTCGGTTTCTAAAAGTTCTTCCATGTCCGCCAATGCCGTATAAAGTTCAGCTGTTGCACTGATAAAAAGTGTTGTCATCAACATAGCTTCCACAATAATCAGCATCCCTCCGAGTCTCGTCATCTTTGACAGTCTCTAGAAAATAAACCCCAAAAGGACACACATTAGAAAATGAATGTTTAATAATTCATAAAATATTAAAGAACCACTCGTCAAATTATAGAGAAAATAATGATCATGATTTAAAAGACTTTATTTTGAAACTTTTCTTTTTTTTATTAACTTCAGTTCCAAAATGTTTAACGTTCGTGGCTTTTCACTTGATTCAATCAGGTATTGTCGCGATCCAATAACCATAACCACTTTTCCTTTCATACTCTCTCGATTTTTTTTTTTTTTATATATATATATATATTTTTCTACGATAGAGAAAAAATTGGGGGTTTGGGGGAGAAACATGAGAGAAAAACCAGGGCACTAACGACAATAGAATGAAGATAGATGAGTACCAATTAATCACGTACGCTAGACGAAAAAATGTTCGAACGGTCCATTCGAACCGTTCACGCTTTTAATCTTCTTCTGAAGAAAAACTGTTGACCGTACGCCACCTACGTTTTGCTACCACCCAACCAACAGCCCCATCATTTCTCCTACCATCGTCAAAAAGTCCAGCAGTAGCAGCAGGTTCGAGTCGTTTTGATTTGAACGAGAATGGTCGAATAAGATTGATAGAGTCGCGTGGATCGTTGAATTTTAAGGGAGGGAAGGGGTTGGGAACAATAAAAAACCTTACGTGTCGTCCTCTCGTACCCGTTTACGTTCTACGATAAACATTTTTTTGTTTCCCATACGATATATGTATGTACGATATATTCGATTGAAAACATTTATTTCTCTGTCATCATTTATTAACGATATACGTATAATTTTATTATTCGATAAAATCCAATGATATTGTTTCGGTTAAATAAATGGACAAAATTATGAGCAAAACGAATTTTCAATCTTATATATGTATGTTTAAATAGAATTTCGTTAAAAAAAAAGAAAAAAAAAAAACAGAAAAAATTCGGTAGATGATAGTTGAGATTTTCGATTGAAAGTTATCGATAGAGACAGGACAAAATTAGATCATCCCAATCTCTAGCGAATTATCCTTTCAAATCCTTTGCCAAATTCTCAGTTAAGTTTGAAAGTTAAAGATTGAACGATGAACTTTGAAAGAAATAAAGAATATAAAAGGTGAACTTTGCAGTTCAACTTGTTCGTCTCCTTTAACGTGATACTAAAGTTTCTCTGATCGGTTTCTTTTTAAAAGTACTTTGTCTCTGGGGCAGGACGCCTCCGGTCACAAATTAAAGAAAAATTCTCTAATCGAGTTTCCATGGGACCGTCTGCCTCACTTTCCTTATATACAACGATATATATATATATATACACAAGGTGATACTTTTTAAAAGCTATTAAAGCTTCTCGTCCCATTTAATGCGAGTCGTCTACTCGATTATAATAAATGTAATTACTAAAGAAAAAATAACAAAGAAAAATACAACAAAAAATAAAGTAATCTTTACTATATTTAACTTCAACTGTGATTGTGAAAATATTAATGAAACAATGAAAACATTTTATAATTGATTGAACGTAATATGAAGATACCCCATCATTTCTCCCTTTTCCCACCCGAAAAATGGTAAGCAATCAAGACAATTATATAAGCAATATTGACAATTCAATTGATATGGAAGATTAATTTAACAAATTGTACATTACCATGTATTCAATTCAATTCGGTATAAAAGTTAGTTTTGAAAAAACAAAAGAAATAAAAGGCAATTGATAGGTATACAAGTTACGCCTAACAGATCGACGATTTATTTCGTCACGGTACCTGATTGTAAAGTCTGTAGTAGAGGAAATGGAAACAGAAACGGTACCTTTTCACACTCTGACTACTATTACCCTCAGATAGTTTACCTCCATCATTCTTTGCGAGTACTCGAAAGTTCAAAAACTTGAGTTCTCGAGGGTTGGGGATGGTTGTATAAAGATAAAGAAAGAAAAACAGGTAGACAGGTAGAAAGGAATGGAACAAAGAAAAAGGAAAGTACGTAAAGTACGTAAAGTACGTAAAGTGAAAGACAGAGAAAGAGAAAGAGAAAGAGAAAGAGAGAGGAAGACAGTATAAGTGAATGAGTGTGTGTGAGAGAAAGAGAGAAACTAAGTAAACAGGAAAACGTCTCGTACGAGAAAAATATTACGTAGAAATGCATGGAATAAAGAAGAAAACGTACTTTAGAAAAAGCATTGGGCGTTAATTAAGATTAGCAAAAGAACACCTTTTCATAGTGAAGAAAGAATTCGACGGGATTCTCAAGTTCGTTCGTCTTCCATTGTTCCCCCCGTTACTTCTTTTTCTACTCGACTCTTTTTTGCATTTGCCAATGTTCGCCAAAGCACTTCGAAGGAAAAATGTGAAAGAAAATTATGTGTGTGTGTGTGTGCCACTTTGCATATGAATTCTTTTGAAACACAGCGTGAAAGAGTTTTAGTAACAAAATGCCTATCACTACCACCACTCACCTCTTTATTTCTTTGGACGTTATTGAAAATATTATATGCAAAAGTGTTTCAATAATAAAGAATAATATTTCTAAACTTTTACATTAAATTTATTGTTTTGTTAGGAATAATTTTGTGATAAAGTAAGATATGGAAGTTTTTACAATTTTTGGTTGGCACGGTCAATACCTACCTAACAAAATAAAAACTACAATATTATAAAAAATAACGTGAAACAATTGACACGTATATAAATATAAATAAGTATTATTATTATATACACGGGGGGGGGGGGATCTTACAAGGATAAGAACAGCTTGAATCCCAGAATTTGGTAATGGATTAGTGAATGAGAATACGAATATAAAAAAATTTGAATACTTTCTTTTCTCTATTGAAAAAAAAGAAAATAGATTCTTTAAAAAATTATTAAGTTCCTTAATGGTTCCATCCCTTTTTACTATAATAATCATTTCATAGTTCCCCTTTTATTTTGACCACCCTCTCACATTGAATTCGGTCGTCTTATTAAACATTCCATCATCGTTCATCGTCGCCAAGTTTCTTCGTAATATTGTGAGAGGGAGACTACCTTTGTGAATGGAAGAAGTAAATAAAAGTGTTCGAAGAACTATAAGGAAAGTAAAGGATGATAAGATAGACAGAGAGAGGGGGAGAGAGAGAGAGAGAGAGAGAGAAATAAAAGGAGCCCTTCCAACATATTAAATTAATCCTTACGAGTAGGGTAGGTACCCCTTTTCTTCCTTTTCTTCCTTTTCTTATTTTTTTTTTTTTATCTCTATTTATCTCACTTTCTCTACTCGCTCTTCTCCTCTTTCTATTATCCCCCTCATTTTTTTTCTTTTCTTTTTTTTTTTTGCTAAACTCTCGAGACAAAATTCAAAAGGTCGCGCGCGGGCTGCAAAACAAAATTGAACGAAGGTACTGGTGGAAATTTCATTGAATGCGTGGCGTTAATTAAGCGCCACACCGGAAGAATAGGTGTATTACGAAAAGAGTATTCCACGGGAAGTATAATAAACGTATATATATATAAAGTATAAGAAATGAAAGATAAAGAGTCCAAGGTATTCGTGAATAAAAAAAAAGGCGGGAAAAGAAGATTTCGAATAAGGATAGGAGTGGTGATTATGAAAGGAAGGAAGAGAAAGGTTGTTGAAAAAAATAGTATGAAGAAAAGTGGTGGGGATGGATACGAAATAATCATTTCAAAATCGTAGAAAAAAAAGTTAATTAGTTTTAACCCTTAAAGCTCCAAGTGTGCCTCTCAGGCATCACCGATTTTGGACGTTCTACTTCAAATATATCGTTGGGTTGTTATTGGTAATTTTTACGGATCAAAAATAATACTCCTTGGTGGTCATTAATAAGCGTCATTGTAATATTTCAAATGTGACACTTAACAAATAGCAAGTCGAAGTATGATAGTTCAAAAAAAGTTGGAGCGTTAAGGGTTAACTTTGTCTGTACTCGTGAAAATAAATGAATTTTTAAATAATATGGAATATCAAGGTAAGGGAAGAAAAAATAAAGAGTTACGGTTCTATAAGATCACTATGCCGGTTGTCGATCATTCGGAATTAACTGGAGTCAACGAGCCATGGAATCGATTAACTCGACCAACGAAAAAAGAATGATGAAGAAAAGGGAAAAGGAACAAAAAGAAATAAAAAAGTTCGTTGAACTAGTTGACGGGGAGGTGGAGGTGGAGGTGGAGGTGGAGGTGAAGGTAAAAGCTTCATAAAATTAAATCTCTCGTTAAAGTTATTGAAACAAAAATGTAACTCGTCGTTGTAATAATCAAAATAAATTGTTCGATTATAAGTATGATTTATTATGTCAAAATTCATTTATTTTTATTATTATCAAAATTTAATTTTATTATTATCATAATTTATTGTAAACAGTTTCTTATTGTTTTTTGTTAGATTTCGTCTATTATCAGTGATAATATCGATACTTTGGAAATGATCGATGTTATTTCATCTAAAAGTCATAATAATTAAACAAATTGTGTAGAAATAAATGATAATTGGTAAGAATTTATTACTTTAAATATATAAATAATAAATATAATACATACATCTTACAATATTAATATAAATATATATATATATCATTTATTATGAAGTTATTACAAATAATATCATTGAAAATTCAATTTATTGGCAATTCAGATAAAGAAAATAATTCTAAATTATTCTCTGGAAGAAAAAATCTTGGCAAATTATAAAATGTTATAATATCATTTAACAACAATTAACCGGTACAATCTTTACATTCAATTTCATTCTAAATTTATATAACAAACGAGAATTAATATCTTACTTTTAAAAGAAACAAAAAAGAAATAAAGCGTATAAAAAAATACTTTGTTCGTAATATCGCAAAGATAATTTTCCAATGATTCATCAAATAAAATTTTTTCACTGTTAGGTGAGCGCATTACAGCTCGTCATATCTTTTGAAAGTTAATTAAACTTCTATCATTCGATTCGTTCGACAAAGATACGTCGAGAAACGTTAATTCGAACTTTGAAATCGAAAAG